CCCCAGTTCCTATGCCCCTGTAGACAACTTAGATGTGGAGCAAGTCATTGCTGTGCCGAAAAATAGTTTGTGGAAGTGTGCCATTTATGAACACTTTTTATACACTTTGGTTGCAGTAACATATTGAGTTGGAATTATTATTATTAAAAAATCGAGATGAATGATGTCATCTAAAGTTGCTTGGTCTGACATTATGACGTCATTATGAAATCGGAATCAGGTAGATTATTGCATGAATAATCAGTAATTCGTAATTTCTGATCATCGCACAATCGGTCAATCACTATGTACATTGGTTGCTATAATTTGGCAGAAAAATGAAAAGCTGATCCAAAAGTTAAATTTAGTCTAAATACTTATTTGTGCTCAATCTGAGTAATAATTCACCATTATATTCAAGTATATTCAAATTAGTTTACTCTACTACTTTTTTCGGAGACCAACAACCTCCCCACCCCCGTCGACAACTTTTTAGGGAAAAAAATTTTCCGGACAACTACGTTGCAAATCCAGTGACTTTACCTCATTTTTTCATACCAAAATTCGGAAATTTACCCAAAAAACAACAAATATCTTGCCCTTTGCGCGGAAATATTTAACCCAAATAGAAGTCCTACCGACTGAATAGCAGTCCTGCCAACTGAATAAAATTTCTGGGGGGTGTCACCCCCCCCCCCATATCTCCGGCCCTGACTAGAGAGTTTCCAGCAACATTATTTATGCCAGGCTGGATTAGTGTAATCCTGGGTTAAAATTTAAATGGAACCACAAGTCCCTGCATCCCACAAGGCCCAGCGCTCTCCCATTGATGAGTAAAATTGTCTAGTGTTAGACAATTAATTAACAAGTAGATAAGATTTTGTTGTTTGACATCATAGTGGGAAGAACAAAAAAGTGGCCAAGGGCTGCCGAGACGAGTGGGTCATTTTTTGTTTTTCCCACATTATAATATCATACTGTGTATCTATAACTGAACAGACAATGGCAAAATCTTATATATTTGTTTTATATAGTAAAATGAGCCCCCCCCCCTGAATTAAACAGGTAAATACAGTAGCTTACTTTTTATCCACCCAAACATTTGGAAATTTGAAAAAGTCAAAATTTTACAAAATAATATTGCACGTACAGTACATGATCTATACAAATAAGGGAATGCTATTAGCCTTTTCCCAAAAGAGATCACAGTGCAATCTAGGATCGTTTGGAGGGACAAAATATATGGTGACAGGCGAAAGTGAAAGAGTAGAAGTATATCAAATATCAACTTTTTAGTCGACCAAAAATGAAATATCTCCTTTTTACATTAAACTTTTAATTTAAATGTGTGCTGTCATATTTCTTGCCCTCCAACATGGGATTTGCGCGACTAGACCCAGGCCTTTGGGAAATGGCTAATTGGCTACAGTACCTTAAGTCATGTGCTGTGTTGTGATTGGCTGCACAGAACAAAGTTTTGTGTGACGTAATTCCATGTGTCTGTCCTCTAATAAATCGTCATGATGGCTCTTGACCCTTTCATTGCTTCAATTCTTATTAATGTTATTATATAAAATAACATACTATGATGGCACAATGCAACTTAAAGGCATTAGCAATATACTTTTAACATAGCATTTATTTAACAGAGTATTCAAAAACTGAAAATTTGTATTTTTGAATTTTTCATTATAAAACTTTTAAAATTGTTAATTGCTCAGGAATAGATTGAACAAACTAATATAATACACAACATTCAAGTTATATTTTGTATATTGCTATTTCTATTGCCTCTGCTAACTGCTTGCATAAAAGTTTAATTCAAGCTATCAATCTCCAACATTACTTTTCATTATAATGAGTTTCTCCCGAATACACCTGCTTTTTATGGAATGGAATATAAGAGGGAGTTACTGCTAATTTCTGGAGAAATGTACATTTATGCTCCAGAGTGCAGTACAAATGAAAATATTTTTAATAACATCAATTTGTCTCTCAAAGTACAGGTTAATACACTGTAAAACTGCATATTATGAATTTCAAAGTCATAGTTTTTTAAGTGCATATTTATTATGCATACTGTATTAATATTCATTGAAAATCCATCACTAATGACATGAAGATATGACATAACTAAATTTGTACCCACTCATTTTATGATCATATAATTATTCAAAATCAATATTTGGTTTTGGATTCTGTGCAATATTTAAAGTCTCCATGGTAATTTATTGTACACACTTGTCTGACCAGCTGTCCTTAAGGTGACTCCCCATAACATTTTGAAATTGGAAAATTTTAATTAATTACTATTAATACTGTAGGTCAAATTTTGTGAAGAATTGATACTTGTCAGAAAACATATATTATACAACTTAACTACAGGTACATCGTCATAGAACAACATTCTAAGATTTGGAGATTGGTCTCAAAAATGATGTCACTACTGTTGCTATGGTATAATCAGTTTATTTTTATTGGCAAAGTCATTAATATATTATAGTATTTCGTACAACATTTTAAAACGTTCATTTATTAAACTTAGTTAATTGCTTTTTTCTTATAGTCTTTGAAATAAAATAAGTTGAAATGACACAGTTTACTTTTGAAAATATTTTCACTCTCCTTTTAATATTAAATTTTCTAAAATAAGGTAGGCTAATTTGAGAAACTTACACCAAAAGCAACAAATACATGCACATTAATTAAACAATCGAAACAAACTTGCCCCATATTTGACATAACTATTTGTTTGCAATGACGTAATTTTTGGATTTCAGTTGACGGGCAAGTATAACAAAAAACGGTTATTTTAATGTATTGATCGAGTTTAGAGGTCCAGCTAATTAAGACTCAAAAGATGAATTACCGTTCAGTTTTTAGTGTGAAGTTTCTTCGAAACTTCACAGTATTGTGATGAGTGGGGGAAAATTCAAACGAATCAGTCAGTCATTCATTCATTCAGTCAGTCATACAGTAAATTTACCGGGGGGTGTATACGATTTATGTTCGTAGTGATTTATCGTACTTAGTCAGTGCTTTCAAGGTTATTTAGGCAATTTCAGTTGTCTTATTTAAATATTCTTTTATCGTTTTGCCAAGTTCACAAAAATTTTGAGGAATGGTTTTCGTTATTGTAATTTTTTGTAAATTTTATAACATTCGCTTCTCATGTTGTGTAAAGGATATTTACCCCGGAACACCCGATTTTTTTCTTTAGCAGCGCAAATGCGCATGCGCTATCAATCATGGGGGATAAAATGCGTCCGTTTAATGATGTAACGTCATAGTGCTTATTATTCATAACATGTCTAATATAGTTATTCCAATTAAAGTTGTCACTGAGATAATAGTCAAATGTGCAATGTGGGTGCTAAAAGGATGATGGGAATAATCATAGTTTTAAATAAGTTTAGCATGTCAGTAGCCTCGTGGGGATGCTTTTGCAAATGCAAATGAAGTTTTAGAGTATGCAAAATTTGGTTGTTGGTGAAACAATTTAAATTTCGAGTTGTCGCGTGTAGCATCACAATAAATAAATAAATTGTATCAGTTCCACGAGGCACGACGTTTCTGATGTGTCAGGCGTGTTTCAAACGTCGCGCTACTCATGTTCCGAACGTATTAGAAACGATAGATAATCAGATAAAATGCCTTTGGTAACTGTGTATTTCGTAGTGTAAGTGTCGTCGACCCTATATAGTTCTTGCAGTGTCTTCTTCGATTTGAAACTTCACACTATCCTTGGATCCCTAGTTCTTGCTACATTTCGTACTTGAACTTGAATATTACTGGGTTGTGCCGTTGCCCAAAATACTATAATTGTTCCCAGTAAACTGCGAAACAACTGTATTTTAAAGCAACCTGGCATGCCGTAGAATGGTCACGTGATACGTTTTTGTGTCCTTGCCGTTTGTTTGTTGTATGGGGCTTCGGTGGCGAAGTGGTTAGCGCACTTGCCTTTCACCTCTAAGGCGGCAGGTTCGAATCTCAGTGAGAACTTCTCAATGTGACTCGAACCCAGGTCTCATGTGAAAAGAGTAAAAG